CCCGATAGCAAAAACCTCTCAAAAAAAAAAAAAAAAAGAAAAGAAAGAAAGAAAAAGAAAGTGCCCAAATAACTCTCACTTTCCTGCTTATCCGCAAAGTCTCCCATGTCGGAGTGTTCAATGCCAAGTTAATAGCAAGAAGACTCATGGGGTGGGGGAAACCCAGTGAAACTGTCCTTGGGGTGTCCTCTTTCAGGAGATGGTTTACCTGACTAGGTAAATAAGCCAATAGGACCTCGAAGCCACCACACGCCCCCTCTGGGCAGAGGCAGGTGCCATCCGGAGGTAAATGAGGCAATTTCCCACCGCGTTCAAGTTCACGACCTTCCAGCGTTGGTGACCACTACCGAGCTAAAGAAATCGCTCATCTCGTCACCTCACTGCCTCCTTCTGCCCCTTCCTCACCCTCCGTGATGAGTGAGTGTCTGTGTAAACTGCTGCTTGTCAAAAGAAGGGAGAGCGCGACAGAGAGAAAGAGAGAGAGAGGATGGAACATCCCCCAGCTCCAGGTAATTAATGATCAGTGCCCTCCAGGACCCACAGCTGGCACTAGCTTGCAAAACACACTGTGATGTGGTCATTAGAAGAACCCAGACTGTCAGAGCTGGAATGTTCTCAGCCACCAGGTAGCAGCCGTGTTCCAGGTGGGCGGAGTCATGTGGTTTACCTGGGGGAGGGCCTCTCTCTGCCTAACGCTGGCATGTCACTTTAAAACGAGGGGAGGTGGAATATGAAAAAGCCCGCTGGTGATTCTGCACCCCTCCCCTCCCCTCTCCTGAAGAGTCACCACTCTGATATGCAGCATTCTATCTTGCCATGAGGGGGTAAGTGACTTGCTTAAGGTCATGAGGTTCAAGGTCTCTAGTGACAGTGTGACTGAAATGCAGGTGTTCTGGCATGGTCGTGCATGCTCTCGACCCTCATATTTCATTACGCTGTCTCTTTAAATCTTAATTATGGGGCCTGGCAGATGGCATGGTGGTTAAGAACATTGGCCAACCATGGTTCGAGTCCCAGACCTGGCAGCTTGCTTTCTCTCTCTCTCTTTCTCTCACTCTGTCTGTCTCTGGTCAAATTAAAATAAATGAATAAATAAAGTTAAATAAAATAATTTTTTTTTTTTGGAGAAGTTTTCACTATAGGGTGCGTGCGCTCACCAGGCAGACAGAGAGAGACAGAGAGACAGAAAGCCAGAAATCACCCCCCAGGGGGGATGGCCACGCCTCAATCCCTTCTCCTCCATTCTCCTCTCGGGATCTTGGGCACACACACACACGCACCCGGCGTGAGTTTTAAGCCACCGGGTCCGGGACATGAACCGCGGTCGACTACATGG